TCCAACTAATGGTTTAGACCTGATCCCTTGGGGGCCTAAGCCTTTAGTTGGACATCCCCCGAGGGCTCCCTGGCTGCCAGAAGGATGTCTGACTGCAAGCTTAGGCCTGATCCCCTGGGGAGTGGGCCTAAGTCAACAAGTGGACATCCCCCAAGGGGTCCTGAACTGCAAATGGGTGCAGGCCGGGCTGAGGGACCCCTCCAGTACACAATTTTTTGTGCACCGGGCCTCTAGTAAAGATATATAAAGCAAGAAGATAAAGAAGAAAACTCATACTCTCAGCTTTCTGAATATTTTGTTATTGTTTTAAATAACAGGGAGAATAAGGTGGGGCTCCTGGAGGGGATCCTCACAAGTGATTGGAGGAAGTCTTCACTATTGTGGAACTGGAGACAGAGTTCCTACCTTCTCCTCCTGCCCTTTGCTCTCAGGGCATCTGATGCTCCTCATCCCATTCAGTTTGAGAAAGCAAAGTGAGAAGATAAGACTCTACTTTTCTGGACTCTGTAAATCCAAGCAGGCTACGTTATCACCCATCCTAGCTTTTGTGTGAGAGTCAAAGGGCTTGATTCCTAGGGCCTTTGCCTGCACGTAACAGAGAAATCCTGGCCTGCTTGCTGGGCAGCCCAGCCTATCTACTCACTTTGTAGATCTAATATCTTATTATTCCATCATAATATCCTCTCAGAAGGCCATGTGAGGTAGTAAAAGACCCAGAGAGATTTAGATTTGAATTTTAGCTGTCCTACTTACCAATTATCTGATCTTGGGCAAGGAACTTAGTCTCCAGGATCAGTTTCATCATCAGTGAAATGGGTCTCTCAGAAATGAAAATTAAATGAGAGAGTAGACATGAAATGCTTGCAGTGCTTGGTCCATTTTAACAATGTTGTTAATTTTTATGTGCCAGGAGCTTAAATATTTTACAGAGGAATCTCACTTAATCTGTAAAATATTCCTATTAGATAAGAACTACTATAGCTGTCTTTGATTAATGGAGCAAATGAGGCTCAAAGAAGTTTAGTAACTTTTTCAAGGTTGCACAGCCAGTACATGAGAGGGCTAGAATTTGAACCAAAGCAATCTAACTCCACTTAAGAGCCATTTTTTTTCTCTCCTTTCCCATTTGTATTGGTTGACAAGTGAACTAGTTAGAGAAATACAGAAACAGCCTATCCCAAACCTTTCCAACACGAGCCTGAGGTTGCAGGCTCGATTCCCTGATAGGGAGCATGCAGGTGGCAGCTGATCAATAATTCTCTCTCATCACTGATGTTTCTATCTTTCTCCCTCTCCCTTCCTCTCTGAAATCAATAGAAATATATGTTTTAAAAACAAAACAGCCCTGGCCGGTTTGGCTCAGTGGATAGAGCGTCGGCCTGAGAACTGAGGGGTCCTAGGTTCGATTCCGGTCGGGGGCATGTGCCTTGGTTGTGGGCATATCCCCAGTGGAGGGTGTGCGGGGGGCAGCTGATCGATGTTTCTCTCTCATCGATGTTTCTAACTCTCTATCCCTCTCCCTTCCTCTCTGTAAAAAATCAATAAAAATATTTAAAACAAAAAAAACAAAACAAAAACAACCTAGGGTTTCAAAATAGGAAAGAAAGATGTACCAACCACCTTCTAATCTCCCACTTGCTGTCCTAAAACAGGATACTCTGATAGTTCAAATATTCTTCTAGGGGACAATTTGAGTTGAAGCAGAGATGATGACAGTAATTCTTCTTAGATCAGGCTGGAGCTGCTTGGACCCGAAAAGATACTGGTTTGGAGAAAGTAGAAAGAATGAAGTTGGTCTTTGGGAAGTACCCAAAGAGAATCAGGCAAATCTTGTCCTTTCAACCCCATTCCACCAACTCCTGCAGATGTGAAACACAGCCCAACCCTCATTGGTTCATCAGCTTCCAGACTGGTGACATGAGAAGTAGAAATTTACTTCCCACTAGCTTATTTCCTTCTCAGACCTCTCAGAGAAATGGAAGAGGCCTAATTATCTGCTCAATTGCTTCTTCCCATCTAAGGAAATAAAATTGAGAAATATTCTTTGTACATCCAAGTCTTCCTGATGAGCATTAAGTCACTTCTAATCAAATTAATTTGCTGCAGACAGTTCATTCTAATGTAAAATATATTTAGCAAGAACCTTTCACGTTCCTTCTTCTGATGGCAGGGTCATCTCGACAGCATTCTTTAGGAAAAGCCCCTTCACTCTCCTTTAGCTCTACTTCCTCTTCCCCACAATTCTGCCTCTTTACCTCTAACCTAAGCTGGCTATATAGATTCCAGCCTCTCCAGCCTCCAGTTCATCTTTCACCTTTCTGACACATAACTTCCTAAACAAGCAGATCTGATGACACCACACCTCTGCTCTGATGCCTTCAATGACTTCCTGCTGTTAATGGAATAGAGGCCAAGTTCATTTATTTGGCAACCTAAATGCTTTCAATCAGTTCCTATTTTCTTTTCCAGGTTTATCTGGCTCCTCCTCCTGTCCATATACTCAGCTCCAGCCATATAAAGACTTATCTTCTCTAGGTCATAACCCTCCTTGATGAATGCCTATTCATCTGTCAAGGCCCAACCCAAATGCTGCTTTCATAGACAAGGCTCCCTGGAGAATTTCATCTTGTTTCCTCTGTGTTCTCACAGGATCCTGGTCAGGTGCCCATTACAGCACCCACTGCTTCATATTACACATCAGTTGCTGATCTCTCTCTCCCCCTGACTAGAGAGGGAACTCCTCAGGGAACAGGGGAGCTGATCATTTATCTTGATATCCACAGGGCTGGCCCAGTGCTTGTTTGCAGGGAGGTGGGGGGAATCACTATTTAATGTTTAACCAAGCAAACAAAATTCTATTTCAACCAAAGGACTTGTATGCATGCATATAAGCCTAACCAATGGACACAGACAACAGAGGGATGAGGGCATGAGTGGGGGGTTTGCGGGGGAGGGCAATGGGGCGATAAGGACACATATGTAATACCTTAATCAATAAAGAAAAAAATAAAAATAAATTCTATTTCAAAAGAAGTTAAAGAGCTATAGAGATCGCTTCTGGAGAAGGGGGATGAGGAATCGCTTGATAATGAATGTGACTTTGGAGGCTTGGGAGAAAGAGTAGATTTCAACAGAAAAAGCTAAAGAAGGTGATTTAGGTAGAAGGAAGGGCAAGAAAATGGTTAAGTGTGGGGCATATTGAGAAATAAGAAGTCAACAATGATATGTTTGCCTGTGTATTGATCATGATTGACACTATACTAAGCACTTTTTAAAATCAACTGGTCATCCTCATAACAACCTTGGAAAGTAAGTAGTTTGGGCCTACAGAGTTTAAATAATGCCCATTGCCCATGTCCCACAACTCGGAAAGGGAGAATGGGACTCACATGGGGTCCAATGGATTGCAGGACCTGGCTCTCAATACACACCATGCTGTAGAGGGAGTTGTCATGAAGGATCCAGGCCCTTCATTCCTTTTATTTCCTCTCTTCTCTGCTGGAAGCTATCTGTATACAAGGTCAATTTTTTGTGTCTCTTATTGCAGGTGTACTGAAGTTCTACATTTACCTTCTGCAGCTCGGAGGTTGTTCAATGAAAAGGGAGAGGAAATCTTTTCTGTAAAAGACCTTCAAAGAGATGAACTGGTAAAGACATGAAAGAGAAACTGGAAATATTAATATATAAATAATATTTAAAATGTCTTAAAATATAAAACTTCAAACATTTACCCTCTTTCCTCTTATTTCCCCCCTCAGAATTATCATAACTCACCAACCATCAGAGATGAACACTAATAGCTAACTGTTGAGAGCTTACTATGTGTCAGGCATGATTTTCAGGGTCGTATATGAATTAATTCATTTAAGCTCATCACAACCCTATGAGATGGATGCTCTCATTTTGTAAATAAGGAGAAGACCAAATTATTAACTGCTTGTGGTTTCTATCCTACTCTAAAGGAAATAGATTCTCTCTCTCTCTTTTTTTTGGAACCTTCAAAATGTAGTCATTTAATGATTTATTACTTAATGATAATATTACCTTTTCAGAAAAAAAAATTATATCTAGGCTTTCACACACTCTATTTGGGTGGCTGGAGGAGGCTGAGAAGGACGTTAGCAGCCCAGCCTTTGTTCCCATTTATGGAATTGGGGGTCTCAAATTTGAAAAGAAAACTTGCCTTGACTGATACCTGAAATTCTTTGAGCAGAAAACCAAGCTCTCACCATATTATCAGAACTCAATTCAGGCTCTGAATGTGAAGACCCTTCAAGAAAGTCTCAAACAGAATATCAATGACCAGTCTCCAAGGCAGCGTGAGAGAGAGGAGTCCATTGTTCTTGGAGACTGGCAGGCCTTGTTTGGAATTCTAATGCTACAGATATAATTTGCTACAGTTACTGTGCTAGTTAAGAAGGAACTTAATGTAGATAAATTTAATTTAAATACAAGTAGATGAGGCCACCAGGGCAAAGGAACTGTAAGTGTAGGAGAGTCAGGTGGAGCCAGGGGTGATTGTTATAAGATCCTGTATGTATTTTTGCTAGAAATGAACCTGTCACTGCTCTGTATAGCCAACATGAAGATTAAACATGAGCAGTTACATGATTAGGTATGTCCATAAGAGGGAAAAGAAATCTGTTGTTCAAAAAGAAAATTTTGAGAGTTTTATCTGAATCTTCATACAGAGTATGTGTGTGATGATCAGTGAGTAGCTTCAAAACAGGCAGAATTAGGCTCCCTTGTTCTCTTACTGAATCTTTCTCAACATATAGAAATAGTTCTCTCTTTTTTTTTTACTTCAAAGAAATATGTATTTATGTAAGGACATTTATGAAATACATATAAGCAAAATGAAAAAGGAAAAAGTATCATTCATAATCTAGTACCTAGAAATATCCCCATTAACATTTTGGTGCATATACTGCAAGTTCATTTACATCAGTGGTCATCAAACTTTTTCTGTAAAGGGCCAGATGGTATATATTACAGACTGTATAGTATCTATCAAAAATCTGCCATTATAGCACGAATGCAGCCACAAACAGCATGTAAATGAATGGGCATAGCTGTGTTCCAATAAAACTTTATTTAAAAACAGGCAGCAGACCAGATTTGGGTTTAGCCATATTTTTTGCAAAGCCCTGATTTACACCTACCTATCCCCCTCCTCTCCTTTCCTCTTTCTTTCCCACTCTCCTTCCTCCCTGCCTCCCTTCTCTACTTTTTCTCCTTTTCAAAATTATTTTAAAACACTTTTATTTTGAAATAATTATAGATTCACAAGAAGTTGCAAAGATAGCATGAATCACAAAACTTGAGATCCATCAAAGTTGTTGCCTTTATCAATAGTTTGTGCCTTTTTCATCGCTGAGTATTATTCCATGGTGCCACAGTTTAACCACTCACCTATTGTAGGAAGTTTTGATTGTTTTCAGTCTTGGCTACTGCACATAATGCTGCTGTGAGCAGTTGCATATGGGATCAGAGGCTCATTGCTTCAATAGGTATACGTTTCATGTGGGGAACATTGGATCAATCCTGACCTGTCCATTGCTCATCAAAAGAAGCAACTCTTCCTGAGGAATTTAACATCAGACATTTCTAAAATTCAAGCCTTCTGCAATACACGTAAGACAGAGGGTAAGCACTGGAGTTATTTACCTTAATGTATACAGCCAAAATAAGTACTTGATGATAGTGCTTTTTTAAAAAAAATTAGTTTGTTTAAATAGCTTGTATTTCATGCCTGCATCTTGCTGTTTAACACTTTAGACTAATTTTTGTATTTAACAGAGCTGTATATTTTCATTTACACTACACTTTGGTTGTGCAAAGAGAACATAATTTATTTTGTCTTTAACACATTGGTCTTCTTTGTGAGCCTCACATACCCCTACCAAGGACAAGACAACTGTTCAGTCAGGTTTAAATTTTATCCCATACATTACTTTAAACAGTCCCTTCAGGGCGGGAATGGGACTTTCAGATTTAGCAGGTTCCAGTCTCACTTTAGTTCCTCTCTAGGATGGAAGAAAGAATTTGGGTGCAGATCCTCTTGCTCTCTGGGCCCTGCTGGCTAAAGTCCATGGCTGGGTGATGGTGTCCCACTCTTTTGGCTCAGACAATGCTTTGGGTGGGTGCTGCTTCCTGCCTGCCTAGCCCCTCCTCTGGTTCCCCTGGCCCTTGGAAGCCTGGTTGTTGCTGGGTAGTCATCTCTGCAAGTCTTTGCTACAAGACCCCTTGACCTTCATTGGGCAACCTCTTCTGGAAAGCGCCCAGCAGGGTTGTCAGCAAATCCTGGGGCACAGCTGCACCTCCCAGAAACCATTTCCACATTCAGATTTAAATGGCTTGTTGAAGGCTGCTTCAAGGGTAACTGCTGCAGTGTCTTAAAATGAGCAGTGTGCACAGGACTTCCTTGGTGAAGCCCAGATGCCTGAAGTGAAGCCTGTAGGGGAACATGATCCCCCATGCTGGGTTTCTGCCTTCCTCCTCCTCTTACTCTTCTCCCTTCAGGCCCAGAAACAGTTGTTTTTTTCAGGTCAACCCTGAGAAAGGTCAAACCTTTGATATGCTAAATGGGAGCTGAAGGCCTTTGGAAATATCTTAAATCAAGACAGTGTCATCCTGACTTTCACAGCCATTGACTTATGCTCTGCTTGAAAGTCAAAACAATCCTTGTCCTCTTGTAGCATTTCTCATCTCCTCATGGTCTTCCTCATTCGTTAAGGCTGCCTCAGGCACCAGGACAAAGGTTCTATATATAGAATGGCAAGAAGGGGAAATTATTAATATAATTAAAAACATTACCCTCTTGCATATTTTGAACACTGTACAGTAAGCTTTGCATGTGTGTTTCAAAGCCTTGGGGACATTCACTAAAGAGTTTGGGTCTCTACAGAATGATTTAGAGACATATATATAATAATGTAGTCCATTTAAATAGAACGTACAACTTCATTGTTTTTGGAAAAACTTAGTGTTAATATTTTTGACTAAGAATATCTTTAGAGGAAAGAATCTACAAATTAAATTGAGTGAAATCCAATGTATTCGTTTAAAACGCAATTATCAGTTACTCTTAGGATGTCTTTATACCAAATAGCTGGACATTTTCTGCATTTGCATTTTAGCATGTGCTTTCAAATTCCCAGTTCTCTGCAATTAGAACTAACCTGTCCTTGCTATGTGTGCGTTTCTGCTCAGCTCTTGTTTTAGAAGTCCAAAGTGACATTGTGTCTGGAGCCAAGCTTGCTGTGTGTAAGCCCGTAGCAACTTCTGGAGAAGAGAAGCAAATTATAGAGCCAGAGGAAGAGCAAATGCAAAAAAATGCTTTAACAACGGAAAGTGCTCCCAGTAAAACTCTGTAAGTGATCAGTGTGGCCAGAAAAGCTGCCCGCTTAGTATTTGAACTCAGCTCATTAGCCTGATAACAGTACAGAGCCCAGTAGGGAACCCATGCCAAGTGTGTGAAATGGGTGTCAGGTGAAGAGCTCATATTGAATCGGTTTCCTGGCAGCTTCACTGTTCGACCATCACAATGATCTACTTTCAGTCATTTTGGCATAATGCTACTATTTTTTAAAGGCTAGAATATTAGAATCGCAGACATTTATTTGAAGAATCCATCATGTTTTGTTTCCATAAATGTGGACCTCAGCTATGCTTCTTCCCTAATGTAGCTTCAAGTTGGGTGCATGTTAATGTACAGCTACCATCCTGGACTCTGAAATGGCTTTCTGATGGGACTCATCTCCACATCATCTCCTTTCAATTCACCTGAAGTTCTATCTGTGGACAATGATCTTTCTAAAACACAATCCTTTTTGTACAATTCTTTAAGGACTACCTGTGCAGACAGAAAAAATATTTAGTCTGGAATCCTGAGCCCTTTTGACCCTGGTCTAGGCTTGTCATTGACCATCCTTGGCACCCCCATGCCCGCCTCACTCTACCTTTTTTTCTTCCTGCCACATGAACTCCACCCTCCAGCTCAGCAGCTACAAGCTGTCACCTGAACATGGCATGCTCTGAGCCACATTCCTTTCTCTCCACCTGAAGTGTCTTGACTTGCCCTGTCTTCATCCATGGAATAATTTTTCATCATTGAAATAAGTTATAGCAATGATCATAGATAGCAAGATTAACACACACACACACACACACACACACACACACACACACACACACATCCCTTTACCACACAAACAACCACCAACCAGGGAATTCCTTGAGGGCAAAATCTCTTTCTTTTGTGAAGAGCAGGGTAAAGATTTCTGGTAAAAATGGTAAGAAGCACAGTGACACACAAACAACCACCAACCGGGGAATTCCTTGAGGGCAAAATCTCTGTCTTTTGTGAAGAGCAGGGTAAACTGACTTTAATCATTATTGAATAAATAAATGATTGAGTTTTCAAATCATAAAACCACAAATAGTTGATCTATTGCCATTGCAGTAACTGTGAAAATTAATTGTTATAAACTGTCTAAAAAGACTGTTTCTGTCCTTAATTATAAGAATATAAACTTTTACTTTAGGGTTCAAACTTCAGATTTTGATGAGTGAGTCATCTGGTCCGATGTCCTATACCAACAGAGACACCAGAAAGCCTTTGTCAGAGAGAATGATTTGACCTACGTGTCATCTTACTCAATGGTTCGGGAACTGACCACAAACCTTCCCAAAGCCCCTTTCATTCTTCTTCTAAAAGATGTATCATCTGGCCTCTGAGTTATTAGACTGCACTTGGAAAAAAATAAAGAGAAACTAAGAAAAAGAACATCTTTGAGAACAAACACTGACAGTGTTCTGATTCATAGATTTTATCAGGCTTGGAGTCCTTGAGGTACAAGTGATGGAGTCCACTCAGAATGTAATCTAGGAGTCTCCTGGACATTCCATGCAGGCCCTTTTGATACAGTGTCTTCTTGAATACTCATAATAACAGGGAGATCACTATTTCACAAGGCCGCCCATTTTAATGCTGAAATAATGATTTAAAACATCTCCATCCTGATTTTTTCTGTATCTCTATGCAATGCCCTATTTCTCTTCTACTTAAAAGTCCTTAAAATATTCAAAGCTCACCATCATTAGCCCACCGGATTATCTTTTTTCCAGACTAACTTTCATTGGTTCTTTGAACTATTTTTGATGAATCAATTTTAAATCATCTTACATTAGGAAGTCACTGTAAGATTTCCCTAGACTTTCTTAGATATGTTTGGTTGGCAGTTTTCACTTATTTGGGAAGTAGGATGGCTTAAGAAGGGACATCCATAAAGCAAGTGACTGGGCCATGAATATGGAAGGAACCCTTTTGATAGATGGGTTCTATGTAAAGATTTCTGGTAAAAATGGTAAGAAGCACAGTGAAAGAGAAACTCTGGGAGCACTGACCTCTGCTGTGATGCCTTATGGAAGAAAAGGCTTTCAGAGCCTGACACGGGGGTGGGTGGGGGGGTACTTTTCTTCACTGCACTGCAGGCAGGCCCTGCCCTCCTGGTAAGCTTCCTCCCCTACTACCTTTCCCCTTACTTGCTGCATGCCTGTCACACCAGTGTCTCTGTTCCTCAAATGAGACAGACATATTCTTGCTTCAGAGACTTTCCATTTGTTCTTTTCTCTGCCCGGAATGCTCTCCCTCCAGATCCTCATGTGGCTGACTTCTCCCCATTGTCCAGGTCTCAACTCAAACATCATCTCTCAGAGGAGCCTTCTCTGAGTCCATTCCTAAACTAGACCCCGCCCCAACCAATTTGTATCACAGTATTCTGTTTTATCCCACTTTTGGCACTTATTTTGTTTATTTATTCATTTTGTTATCTCTCTGCTCTCCACTAAAATGTAAGCTCCATGAACTCTGATAAATTATGTTTTGTTTATCACTGTATTCCGACACTTAGAACTCGGCAGCTATCATATTGTAAATGTTCGATAAATATTAGTTAAAGACATGAATAACTAATAATGAATAATTAGTTTTATGAATGAATGGATAGACGAATGAATTAATAAAGCCAGATGGATTTTTAAATGACCGTTTTTAAAATTTACTTGATTCTACTTCATTTGTCTGGAAACCCAAGAGCATATACTAGTAGATAAGTTCCAAGTTAAAAAATGAAACATCTGGATTTGGAGGAAGAATATTGTTTACACACTACTAAATGTGTTAAAACTAAAAATTTAAATCTGTATAAGATTTTCCTCAAAGAAATGGAGTTTGTGGGAAAGCTGTTGTGTGTTTTTTAATGTTCAACACAAGATGGCACTGTTGTTTTTTAACAGTTACTGCGAGTTTTCATTTGAGAAGCAGCTTGTATTGCAGTTCTGAATAAGGTCATGATTACTCACCAATTTCATATCCACATGTCATACTTTTGTTACTCTGGAAAAGTGTATGGTCTGCTCTGCTGACACAGGAGTTGTCCCTGAAGATTTTGGCAATTTGATATTGCTTATAGTTACATCAAAGTACCACCAGACCTTGGTGGTCACAGCCTATCCTAGAGAGCTTGATTTTCACATATGCATATTTACAGTGCTGAAATATGCTTGCTGCTTTGCCTATATATTTATCCTGCTTTCAGATGAGCAGTTCTCAGACTGTGTCATGATCCCACAGAAGGCAAAAGTGCCCTGAACAGTGTGGCCTGAAACTGGAGATAAACAGATCTGTGTGGTGGCTATGCTTCTGTGCTCATCTTCTTAAGAAGCGAGAAGGCGGGCACAGTTATTCCAATGATGACTATTTACTCTGAGTGTTTTAGTACATGATTCTCTATCAGAAGCTGGCACTATTAGAGCCAAGACTATTTGAGTCTCCCTAGATTCCTCTATTGAGTGGAAAAGTTAAGTTAATTAAGATTTCGTTAACGTTGTCTAATGAATAAACTTTATGAAACCCAACAATCTAGCTGTACTGTTCCAGACAGAATTATGACCCACTTATGGGATGGGTACAAGGATTCTCCGTACATGTCTGTTAGGAATTTCTTAAACTACTAAGTAGTCTTAATCTTACAATTTTTGAAACATAATATATGGTCTATTTTTTTCTGAGTAAATTTAACAAAGATGAATGCTGTTTATTATGTGATAACGGAATTTTATTTGCAATTTTATATTAAAAGATCTAAATTATGTATTAGTAGGCTATGGATTTGCAATGTTAGGCATCACTATGGAAATATGATTTACAGATCTTTCAGTATCCTTCAGGATGCGATCAGAATACACCTCAGAGAAAATTCTGGTAGTATGAATCCAAATTCTTAGACTTGTGTTTGTTTATGAACCTCAATAGAGATTCACATGCAAAAGCCCATCTCCGAATGAAGGCTCGTCACACACCTCTCAAGTATGCCTGGCAGGAACCTTCTCATATCTCTGATGAGGGCGACAGTTTTCCAAAGAAGATGCAGGAAGAGATCTTAGAAAATGTGGAACCACAGAGAAAATACAGGTAAAAAGTTCCAATGGATGCCTTATACAGATTTCTAGCTGATCTTAGATTTTCTCACTTTGGGGCAAGAATATTCCTAAGGATTTGCATTATTGTTAGCTGCTATTTACATCAACATATACATTTTGTCTTTCTTATGTTTTTGACTGAAGTATTTGCAAGTATTGACAGGAAGGTCCTTTGCACTTTAGCTAAATAACATAATTTATTTTCACTGGTGTGTCTTTTCTGTTAAAGCTCATCCATCTTTGCCTCCTGAGAAGTTAGCACAGAGCTTGTATATTTGTTGAATAAATGTGTGAATGAGCTTACGCATTAACATGTAAGATGCCCTGATGTCCTTAAGAAATTAGTAACATGCAATTTCTTCTTTTTTAATTTTATTATTTTCTGGCCAGTGCCCAGTGAAATGACAGCAATCTATCATCTTTAGACATTTGCTTAACATTATAGCAGCTTATATGTATTAAATAGTTTTGGCACTTAAACATTTAGCATTAGTCTATGACAGTGATGGCGAACCTATAACACGCGTGTCAGAGGTGACACGCGAACTCATTTTTTTGGTTGATTTTTCTTTGTTAAATGGCATTTAAATATATAAAATAAATATCAAAAATATAAGTCTTTGTTTTACTATAGTTGCAAATATCAAAAAATTTCTATATGTGACACGGCACCAGAGTTAAGTTAGGGTTTTTCAAAATGCTGACACGCCGAGCTCAAAAGGTTCGCCATCACTGGTCTATGCACTATACACTAATAAATGTTTATATTAGTCTATTAATATAAACATCTACTAGTCTTAATAAATGTTTATAAATTAATTTAATTGCCAATGCATTGTGATATTTAGTATGTTTAATAAGCTTACTTAATCCCTTAAGAGCCTTAGTAAGAGATTCCTTTAAATTAACTTATTCACATATTATTATTTTATATTATATTGAGTTGTTATGAGTATGAGTTGTTAGGGAAAATTGAAAAACTTGAAGAATAATGTTCTATTTGCCAGGAGTCTAGATAGAGGATAGAAACACTCATGGTTTAAACAGAACTCCTTTATTTTTCTCTGTTTTGATTCTACATGCCTTCTTTTTTCTAACTTCTTTTTCCACTTTAACTAAATTATCTCTTCAACTGAATGTCTTTTTTCTTTGCTGATGAGTTTCTCATATTCTCTTGGATAAACATTTATTTCTGTTACTAAATAAACCCAGAATTCTACTTCGTACATCAGTGTGTGGTAGTGCAAATAACATTGCTGCTGTCCCAAGGGTGATGGCTCACCATTATAAGTGAATTTGGTTCACAGCGGGTCTCCTGCTGACAGAACTTGCCATCTGCAGCACATCAAGGGCACGGGGTATTTTTCTGCACATAATGGGATTTTTTTTTTATCTCAGCCATTCTCCAAAGCGGAGTAAATTGCAGAAGTTCTGCCACCAGCAGTTTGAATACAGAGATGGGCAAATCATAAGTCATGTGGCTCCTCAGCTAGTCCTGGGGGTGCGAGGTCCAGACCTGCGTTCAGGCATGGAGGTGGTTTTGGTGGAGAAAAAAGCCAATGACGGTCATCAGCGCTGGATGCACAAGGAAGGCAGCAGGTGAACGCATTATATTTGGGGGTTAATATATCAACAAGTGAGTGGGAGATTTGCCTGGTCCCCACAGAGCAGGCTCATGTATATTTGAGGGCTTTGGATTTTCTATTTAACATAGCCAATACATTTTTATCCTACTCAAGGAAGAGCAAGAGAGCGAGAGCCAATGTAAATGCTCAGTAGTCTATACACAACTTATTTGCTACTGATTCAGAGAAGAAACATGAAATCTGACCCACTGGGTTCATAGCTTTAACTGGCCTTTGAGGTCAAGAGAAAACTGGACTCTTATCTAATTTTGTTTTTATGATTTGAAGAAATAAAGTAAGAATTCCAAAAAGACCTCATTTTTTAAAATTTGCTTTTCATAACTCAATCTCCTGCACCTCCCCATATACATGACTTCCCTCCCTTCCTTCCATCAAATAGTCAACTGATATGACTTCCACTCACAGTGAAAACTAATTCTTACCTATTCAAATATATTAAGCCAATCTGATGGGGGGCCCTTGTTTGGATCCAGATTCAAGCCAACCACTATCAGACAGTTATTGCTGAGATAATCAGAGGAAATTCAAAGCAGTCTGGGTACCAGATAATATGAAGGAAGTATTGTTAATTTTATTGGGTGTTATAACGGTTATGATAAAAAAAAAAAGAAAACCCTGATCACTAGAATGTATATTGTTGTATTACAGGTAAAATTAAGAGCTCTCTCAGATTTACTTTAAAATAGTCCAGCAAAAGCAAAAATGTTTAAAGTTGGGAGGGGAATGGATGAAACAAGACTGGCAGAATATTGCTCACTGTTGAGTCCATGGTGGTTTCTTCACCATTTCTCTCTGGTTTTTTTGTGCATGTTTGAACATTTCCTTAACAAGAAAGAAAATAACTCCTTGGTTTTTAGATTGGTTTGCTTCAGGATCTACCATTAGTGTTATATGGTGGGTCTCCAGGGGCCTCTTCAGTCTTTTGAAATGCCCTATAAAATTTGTGTTTGTGTATTTGTGCAATACAGTTGTTTTTTTTCTGGAAAGGAGCTGTGATTTTCATTGGATTCTCAAAAGGTGTGTGATGCAAAAGGTTTAGGAATTGCTGCTTTGACAGAGATTGCATAAACTTCAGCAGGGGGCAGCAGAGGGCCCAGCATGTGCCGCAAAGGAGCTAGCCTTAATCTGCTCACTGTCTGAGATGAGCAAAACTGCCAGCAAGGGAGACTTGCTGGATTTGTTTTACAGAAAGCTGAAAAGCCAACATGTAGATGGACCTGGTGAGTGTTTTCCTTGGCCCCATTCATCCTAGCCTAGCTAAGCTGTCTTTGCAATGGGAAGCTAGGAAGCAGGTTTTTGTCCCTGTGAATGGCTGGCTTTATGGAACCAGAATGCATTCATTCAGCTATAAAGAATTTTCACAGGCAGTGTTTTAGGTTTAAGAACAAAACAGATAAATATCCCTGCCCCTACAGAGCTGGTACTGCCCCATCTCTACATTTCTAGAATTTAGCATCTTACTGCCTTGCCTTTCTGTATTAATAGTACAGGTCCTGCTTGAGCCTCAGTTGGAATTCAAGCATGGCTGATGAACTGGGGTGAACACATATGGGAAACGTGACCCAAGAGAGGAGAAAGCCAAGCATGATGAATTTAACTCAGAAACACTTGTTCATTGGAAGAGAGGGCAGTTTCTGGGTCCTCCTGAGTGTCTGGCACTGGTTTCATTTTTCATCCTGATTGCTGTAGAGAAAGCAGGAGGAGGGCACGGCTATTCAAGTGAAAATAAAAGAGAAGTTTGCCTAAAACTCTGAAACACTGGACTATGATCAGCACCGCTTTAGAAAATGTAACCACATGTAACATGAAAGAGAACAGCCTCTTCCGATGTCCTTCCACTTTCCAAAACACTCTACAACTTGGCCTTCTCGAGGCCTCCCCATGTCAAGCCGTACAAGAGAGGGACCATTGGTGGGAAATGGTGGTATTGATTGACCTCTGGTGGGAAACTCCAGAGTCTGAGAGAAGAGATGGAGCAGTGAGGGGGAGGGGCAGTGGAACAGGATTTGCTCATGAGCACATGGGTCACCATCTGGAGACTCCACAAACATTTGGACAGAGGTTTTGTAGAAGTCTGGATGATTAATTGTGGGCACGATTTAGAGGAATATATGTCCTATGGCAGAAGTGTGTCTGCCTAGTGACAGTAATTCTTTCTTTCACATTTCCCCTTGGCATCTTGCTGTGTGTGTTTGGGTCCCCCCCGCCCCCCGCCTAATTGGGTATTGAAACCCATCAGTTCTGAGTAACTGGTAAGGCCTGGAGAACCTTGATTGCACTGTGTAGCAGAACCTATAGAAAATTCGTTTATGTGAACCATTGTCTTTTGATCCTCCTTATTTTGCCCAGGCAATACGTTTACATTTACATTTAGGGAGGCAACTGCCCTTTCAGTATTTGGAATAATAGGGTGGGGGCAGAGTATCTCACTGCCAACATTGTTGGAGGTACTAAGGGGCATCACTGTGCCAAGAACTGTCTACTTTTAGTCCTTTCATTCAGGCCTTGATGGGATAACACATCGTCTTGGCTGGAAGGGCAAGAAGTGAGCAAGGGGACACTGAAAGGCACAGGAAATTGCTAGCATTCAGTAGCTTGGTTTTCAGCCCCACAGAAGAAGGTCCAGATCAACTTTTGAGATAATCTAGCATCTTCCTCCCATTTTCTCTGGCGCAATCCGAGTTAATCATTTGGTCTCTAAAGGGAAATATGAAAAAATATGAAGAAATCCTCAGGGATGAAAATTCCCTCAACAGCACTCAAGGTTATAGAGGGGGAAATTCAGCATCATGGAATTTGGAGCTCAAAGCAATCTTTAAAATCTTCTAGTCTTAGTCACTAGTCTAGGTAAACTGAGGCTCAAGGAGATGAAGTGACTTGTATGTGTTCATAGCATGGGTTAATGAAAGAGACAGTGGTATTGTGCTGGATATTGCTAGGACACAGAGTGATTTCTCACCTTGCTCTTTGGCATGCAGGGGGTTTTGTGTAGAGTTCTATAAGCTCAGGCTTCCTGCAGAATATAAGCATTCCTGCTGTGGGCGAGCACCAGTTAGCTGCATTGTTCAAAAGGAAAAAGAAAAACCAACTCTATGATGGCTGAGCAGGGCACTGAAGCCTGGGGAAGTTGCTATATCTATTCTAGTCATTCTAGTCAGCAAAACACAGAGATAGCTAGGTAACTAATATTGGCATCTCAATAGGTTACTGCAGAAATATATGTTCATTCATTCATTCATTCATTCACATACTATTGAATGCCAATAAGAATGCAAGGTGCAAAGTCCGCAACATGCTGAGGCTGCAGAGATGAGCAATATAGAATATCAGTTCCCTTGCCATGTGCACCGTCTTCATAAAAGCTAAGAAGGTATTTGATAAAATTGAATATCCACTTTGGATTTAAAATGATACTTCATTAACTAACACTAGAAGGAGGAAACACATTGTAAGATTAATAGTGATTATCTTGTAGAAGTCAGAGTAATGTTTAAAATTGTGTTATAATTTTACTATAGTCTCCAATATTTTGTATATTTTTACAATGAGGATATATTGTTCTATGTTCAGAGATTTAAATTAGATATCTGGAATTTTTTTAGTCTTGAAAGGAAAAATATATTACTTTTATAATAGATCCCTTCTCTACTCCCACATCATTAAATTTTATGTTCAGGAGGAGTTGTATTTTCCACAGCAGAAATGCCACTATTGGTCTGTAATGTAACTATGTTGACAGAGGAAAAGAATTGGCTCTTTCCATACAGACAAGAGCCTAAAATGTTCAGCTTATTTTTGCTTTTAAGGGATGCAAGGAAAAGAATTTGAAGGTTTTAGCTCAATAATTTTCATTTTGTTTTCCAATCGAGGGGACCTTATGCTAGCTCCAATAAGATCACATAAAAATATTCACCACATATCTTGGACTTTTAGGGAAAGCTCCTTTAGAAAAAAATAATTGAGAGAAATCTATAAAAAAATCACAACCATTAGTAAGAGTCACTAATACAAGTACTATGCAACAGACAATATTCATTGCATTTCATATGCATTAACTCATTTAATTCCCACAATCATCTGATGAGGTAGTACCCCATTTTACTGATGAGCATACTGAGGCAGAGTTGTTAGGCAGAGCTGTGGAGCTACTGACAGGTGGACCCAGGACTCAAACTTAGGCACTGTGGCTCCCACTCTGATACACTGCCTCCCATAGCAACTAAATGGGGGAGGAGAGCATAGCAGTCTGGGTACAATCTGGAGGCAGAAACCATACAGTGACTTAAACAGGAGAAGTTTAACATAAATGATTATTAAACAATGATAACAGAGTAATTATTGGATATTTAAACAAACATCCATTCTATATGATACTGTAAGGCTGAGGGAGAGTATGCAAGAAAGGACAGACTTGGACTTGGGCCCCTCCCCAAGGCTGGAGTTCAAAACCCATTGGAAAGGTATGGTTGCAGCCCACTGGCTGGCAAAGAAAGGTGCTGGTTTGCCTGGCCAGACTTTGTCTTTGGCTGCTGGGCAAGCAGCAAGCAGCCCTCTGGAACATAAATGGGGGTGTAACTGGTTGCCGGGCACATGGGCATGTAAAGGGAGTGAGGGTGCTGGCGTGGCAGAAGGCCTGGAGCGTGCAGGATCTGTGTCAGGAGAGACTCAAGCAGGAGATCATGAGGCCAGGTCAGGGCTGGGAAGGTGCTGAGGGACCACGCATTCTGGGCACCTGGTTGGGGAAGAGCATCACTGGATATCCCACTCCCAATTAGGGACACCATACACCGCCAGAAAGAGGAGCCCCTTCCTCCTGCAGTGCTCTTCCAGCACTCTCCGTGAGAACCCTTAACATCGTGCCTGCTGTACTAGTAAAATGGGAGAAACACTTAGAGGATGCACATCCATTGTGGAGACAAGAAGTAACACACCAATAAGTGGCACAGAGGGAGCTCTAAGCTGGTCATGCTGCTGTGTAATGTGCCTAATCCTGTTTTCCCAAGGACCTTTCACCTGGTGAGGAACCCAGAGCTTGTGCTGGCTGTGTCTATGACCAAGACGGGGAATGAAGTCTGCAGCTATCCAGTTATTGTTCAGGTAAGAACAATA